GAACAACCGTATCAGTTTTATTGTATGGGTTCGCCCCGGGGATCGGATGATAGCGAAAAAAAATTATGCATAACATATATCTAGTAAAATATATAATATGTTTTTTACTCATAATATTAGGTATATTATATTCGTAAAATTTTACTTTTCTGTATGAAACCATATTCTACATAATATGTACAACTACGCGTTATACATATTACTATGTCTAATACTATATAAATATATAATATAATAATATTTTATAATATGTGTCATGCACTTGAATATTATACATAAATTTTTTGCGGTATTACCGCAGCGGCGGTCCGATTAGTTTTTTTGAAAATCGTATTTCCATAAATCTTTGTCTCGACTGTGCAGCGTGTATATACGATTCTTTGCTGTAGTCTCTATTTATACTCACATTCACATACGTATAATAACGACTGCTGATTTATCGAAACGCAGCATATTTATTTATTTTTTTTTAATACATAGAAACTCCGTTTTGACTTTACGCCGAAACGTTATAATATATATATATATATACATAGGTATACATATATGTATGTATAAGTATATACTGTATAATGTATATCAGTATTAACAATCAAAAATTTTGCCAAAAGAAAAAAACGAACCAACCAAACGTGAATAAAAAAAATATAGATAGGTATAACGTAAACAAACGGGTTGTTTACGTTTTTTTTATGCAAAATACATATATACAGGTATACATATCGATTGTAATAATATATTATGGTCCTATTGCGCTTGTCCTACTTTTTAAGAGTTTTTTGATTAAACTGCAATACGTACTAAATACATATTATTATGTATATAGGTCGGGTACGAATAGCAAGTTTCGATAAAGGTACGATTGTCGTAGTCTACGCAATCGAATGCTACTTACTTGCACTGCAGTTTTCGATTAGGCTGCAATAATACGCTGATAGCCACTGAAGGGACTAATGGATAATAGTTTGTTGGAATAGGTACCACAACTAATTTTTTTAAGTGAAAGACAAATATGATGGACGAAGACACGCTATCGTGTTCGTGGCCAATGGGTTAATGATTAGCCAGCCCAAACTATTTCAGAAATATTTCTTTTCCAGTTAGGTACCTATTAGTTTGCAGAATTCTTGTAATGTAGACGTTTAATATTAAAGTTGAAAGTTGTAATAGTATCAAAAATTTATAAAATAAAAAAAGTGTACACAGTACACACCTACAGTATTAAAAGTATTTTGTCGATTCCTTTGAAGACTGTTTATTATTTTGTACATACTATAATTTACTATGGAATGTCTGCTGGTTGTGATAACACCTTTGAGATGTGTTGTGGGGAGAGTGTGGGAGCCGCCCACGGTAATACGATATATTACTAATGTGTTAAGGCACGCGAATACCTTTACGAGCCATCCGAGTAGTACATCTTATAGGTACTTACAACAGCAGTTGTATTAGGTGTTCACTTCGATGTGTTAACATTAATATACGTTGTAATTAACGATCGATGACACGATCAATATATTATTATGGTTGCAGGTGACGTGAATATTCGTGTTAATCGTAAACGTTCCGAACAGATGTGCTGTGCTGCAGTTTACAGGGGTAAAATATATACATGTCTTTAAGCATGCGTCGCGTACAACCATTAAAAGATAACGAATCCGGTTTTTTTTATATGGTACACACTACACGGAACATCGTGTACTACCTATATCAATTCGATATTCACCGTATAGTCCGTAGTGTACAGCTGACTTTGCACTCTTGTAATAATAATGTGTACTTATGAATGCGTTGTAGCTGTGAATTGTGATAATATTATTGACTATTCGCATTTATTTCCGAATGGCGAATGCCTTACGCCGGTGTAAATACCCCAACCATCTTAAATTCACAGTCGATTCACGTACCTAATATTAGATTCTATTTATTAAATATTATAGTTTTTCAAGTTTTTCAGCTGAACACGTTTTTTCTTATTATTTTTTTTTAGGAAAATCATTACATGGTAATCACATACATATTATATTATTATTGTTTCTTGTTGCACATGTTTTATACCTCGCATATGCGAACCCTCTGGGTACGATTGTACGAATCACAGAATGAAATATTTTATAACGCGATTTGAACGTCACTACTATCACCGAGTCCAAGTGTCACAAATAAAAAAAAATACTTATTATTGAAATTTCCTATTATGCCTAGCGCGAACGTGAAATAAAATCTGCCGAACGGAAACGTTTTGAATTAAAATATATAGATAATTTCTATTTTTTTTCCACCTGTACATAATAATAAATATAGAGATCCGTCTTGATATGTAGCGGGAAACACCGGACATTTTGCTGCATATATTTTCTTTCCTATATATAACATAATATAATAATAATAATAATAATGTAACGCGAAATGTATTTAATTTAATTTTTTTTCCCCGTTTTGTTTTTAGCGACTGCAGTTCTTTGTGCCCGGTGACGATCACGTCTACAACGGTTACCGCATAATTGCTCGCCGAACGTGTTCACGCGCGGTTGACAGGAGCAGATATCGCGACGGCGGACGAGGGGACACGCGCGTGTGGCTGTCCGCGAACGGTGGTGGCGGCGGCGGAGGGGAAATCTCGAGTAAATCATTTACGCGCGTATTCCCGAATGGAGGAGAAAAAAAAATATATGAACGATCTCAAAAGAAAACGCGCTGCTTTTTCCTCCACGCACTGATTGCCGCTCCTGCTGCCGCTGCGACGTGTTTTAAATACCGCGGACGCGTACCTCGCATCACGCACACACACGAAACGTCGAAACCGTGACAAAATTACACACCATACAATCGGGAGAGACGACGGCGGCGGCAGAAATACATATACATATATATATATATATAAATTATTTATATGCACAACACTGGAGCAGCGATCACGGTGACGGCGACGACGGTGACGATGATGATTGACGAAAGAAGACGAGAAAAAGTACGTATCGTACATTATAACGTTATATATAACAGGTACGTTTCGGGGAAACGAATAGGTGGAAATAAATAGAAATAATATAATAATAATATATATATATATATCACAAAGTGAAATTCGTCACGCTCGTAGAAAACGCCGACGACTCTCGACTGTATAGCAACACGCTCAGTATCTTATACAGATGATATATTATGTATAGTCGGCAATAATATTGTACACGTCCGACGAGCGGTGTGCTCAGAGAGGTTCCATTTTGAGTATGATGAGGTGAAATGTTACCCACAGCTATACGATAGTATAAGATGTACACTTATCTCGTGATATACCCTTTACATATATGGGATGTACCTGTAATAAATGGGTAGGTACCTATATTATTGCGTATGATATTCATGTTGTTTTATATAATTTTTCCTCTGGCGATTTTCTAATTAATCGACAACCGTGAACGTGTAGGTACAGTTCAATATTATAATAATTATTAATTTATAATAAATATCATTATACGGTGGTCATAAAATTATCGGTGATACAAGTAACAGCTGTGTTAAAATAATAGTATAGAGTACTCTCGTTTTTTAATATGTTTGATGCCTACTTTGATATTGCAAAACTTAAAAACCCCTTTCTGCATGAATTCAGTTATTTGTTAAAAGAAAAACATTATAAGATTATACTTAAAAAAAATTTTGATCATTCTTAATCCTAATAAATCCCAAAGCTTAATAATGCGTGCCATAAATTACATTGTGCATATCAAAAACTATTTATGTGCCGTAGTTTGACTTTAATTCTAAAATGTTTTCTGGTAAATTTAAATTTGATGCCGAACTACAATCACTTGTTTCTGGTATCTTCCTATTATACTTATTTCCTTATAAATATCATTTTTTCGTTATGCCTAAAGGCTAAGACAATTTATAAAACAATACATTTTGTGCATAAAGTGCCAAATATGGCTCATATCATCAACTATTTGATTATAAATACATAAAATATACTTAATACATTAATACTCAATTTTATCTCTAGATATGGAAGTACCTTAGATAAAATTGAATTAGTTTTTCGTTCCAAATCATGTAAGAAGTATTAGAATAGCAGATAATTTGTAAGTGAAATAAACGAGTAAAACAAATTAGTGACATTTTTTGGGACAGAAAGGGGTCTAAGAAAAATTATTTTAAAAATGTATGTAAATACCAAGTATTTTCATAATTTATTGATACCAAATAAAAGTATAACTGGTAGTACCACGTTTTTTTTTAATATAACACTTTACTCGGGTTGTGAACTTTTTTTATTTGATAATATTAGTTGTAGTTTTTAAATGTATAAATTATTTATGTAACATAATTCTATAATATTATTGATATTATTATTATGCTTATCTATATTTTAATCATACTGTATTTATTATTAATAACACTAATAACTCAAAAATTTGAAAATTGTACTAACAATTGAAGAATATTTTCATAAAATGTTTTTACATGTTTTACACTTAACTATTGACATTACATTCTTATCATTTAAAAATATTTATATTAGAAAAATCAAATCATTTTTTTTAATTTTATTTATTATATAATATTTTAATTAAACATTCAATGAAAAAGACCTAGGTATTAAATGGGAGAAAATGTTTTCGTCGTTTATTATGAATCATTTATTAGTTTCTTTAAGGGTGAAAATCAAACCACATATTTTGGTGCCCAATATCATTAATGGTAAAATTATAAAGCTGATTCGACTTCAAGGAGAACATTTCTCCTCCCCCTCACACTCACACACATACACACAACTTAGTTGTCCTGGTCAGGCCCTAGTAGCCTTGAACCAGGCATACAATAATTATTATAAATACATATTTTTATTATTACCTACTACACAAATTATAATTACGAACAACTACACCGTTGGTAGTATTACACTATTACGATTACAATATTGAACAGTTATCGCAACGATAGATTTTTAGAAAAAGTATATACATAACAGTTTATATTTGAATAATATTGTATCATTAACTTTGGCATGTGCCAGAGCCTCTCCACCACTTATTGATGTCTTCGTAGTGTCTTGGCGCGCGTTTCGTGTCGTGGAGCATCGCACACAACCGGCAATAAAACCTGGTGTCCCGGGTTACCGTGCCCGAGCCTTTCCATCGGAAGTATTCGTTGTACAGCTGATGGTCTTTGTCCAACAAATGCAAATATTCGGCTAGCTCTTTTGGTGACCCGAAGTCGTCGACGTGTATGAATGAATAGTTCGGCGCCATCAGTTCGTAATCGCTCCGTTTCGGCCCCATGACGATCGGCAAAACGTCATTACTGCGCATTAATATACATCAATACGTTTGCTTATTATAATATTATATTATGCAACTCAAATAAGTGAGACATATAATTATAGAGGATTACTTTTTTTTTTTTTTTTTTTTATTGGCCCTACATCTATGGCCATTAGCTGTTGGTTGGTTGTAAGGTGGTGATGGTAGGGTATTTTTGTTGGTGGGGGTTTACACGTGAGTGTTCGTGTTTTGGCAGAATTTCGAATGGGGCACCCGTAGGTTTCTGCCATGCCCCGGAGTGGGCAATATAATAAGGGTTATATTAGAATTGTTTAAAAGGTCTTAATAGTAGAATATTAAACGTTTTTGAAAGTTTAGACTTACCTCAGTGCATTGCCGAAAAATTTTTCAGTTACATAGTAAACGCAATGTGAGTTTTCAAAACACAAATAGAATTTATAATCATTTTTAAGCATCTGAAAGCATTCCGCTTGTTTCGTCCGGGGACATTTCTTCGTCCCGCAGCCGCCGTACACGTCTACGTTAATATGTTTGGCGAGTTCGTTTGCATAAATCGTACGATTGCTGTTCGGATTGCAGTTCGAGACAAACCACGCCACTTTCTTAGTCTTTTTTAGAGCGTAATTTTTTCCCTCATATCGAGGCAGAGGCGAGTTATTTTTCATGAAGTAACCATAAGGACGCGGTACATCACTGTCCCAGCGGTAGTTAGCCGTCCAGTTGAATACGTTGGCGTCGCTTATGCGTGACGTGGAATGCGGGGATTCAGTGTTAAATAAAATCCAAATCTATAGGATGAATGAGAAAATGATAAAGTGATGCAAATTGCATTACCGATAATATTATATTAACTATTATGTCCAAAGACCATAACTTAATTGAATAGTTGAATAATTAATTATTTATTTTAAAAGTCTAGTGGGTAAAGAAAATTCGCAATTCGAATGTAGAAGGAAATATATTTAAGTATTTTGGCCACCTTCTAATACAAGACAACGATTTGAAAATGGATATTCACACTTAAATATAAAATGATAACAAGTATGACTTCGGACTTGATAAAGTACTAAGCTTGAGATCCGTATAAATAAACTGAAAGTACAGATATATATTATATAATTATATGACCTTGATACGGCCCTAAATAAAGTGGAGGAAACAAGACTAAGTGAATGTTTGACTGAACAATTCTTAGAGGAATATACTATATCCAATTTCGTGAAATATTATTTCGTCAATGTCGAATCACGAAATTGGATGAAAGACTTAATTAAAAGAATTTTATTAAAGCGTCGACAATTATAACAAAAATGTGTCAAAGAGAAGATCGTTATAGGCAGGAGATGTGTGACTAACACATGGGTGATTATTTATTACTCACGAGTAAGGACAACTATTGAGGAGAATGTCATATCGGTAAGAACCCAATAGTAAGTTCATCAATAGTAAGATTCTGAAAAAAAAAAAAATAAAAAAAGTGTGGGTATCCAAATTTAAATTGAAAGAGAGTAGCAGAAGATTGAGATAAAATAATCGAGAGAAATATGTTTAGTGGGCTTTAGCCATTTTACTCAAAAATAATAAGAAATAAAACTTGACCATTTTCCTCCACTTCACAATTTTATTTTTACTAACGTTAAATAAGAAATTAAATCTTAGAACAAGACAGTTAGTACCAAACTTAATGAACGAAAATATTTAAATTACCTACGTCGAACAGAATCGTTTTCTAATTGATAAGTGGCACAGTTTGTTTACCTGATTGGGCGGCCTACGGTACTCAGGGCGTTTGTAATAATGTCTGAAAAGGACCGCGTCGACATCCGGACCCAGTGACTTGTTGTGCGTCAACCAACATTGACTCACGGGACATCCAATGAACTCGCCCTGGTCGGATTTGAGAACTTCCCAATCTTCACCGATGCCATTTTGGATTAAAATCCGTTTGTAAGGTGTCATCACGTATCCGTAGTCTTTCGGCACGTAATACATTTGCTCTATGATTCTGTCACCGTAGGGCAATTGTTCCGGCCACACCAATCTCGAACTAGTGAAATTGTTCTCAACACCTATATTTTTTACGATATTTTGTATACGATTTCACACAAACAAATACTATCATATTATTAACTTTAGGCTTTAGTGGTATCTTACAATACGTATTACTGACAGTTGAAACAGGGTCCAGCTGAAAAAAAATTCACAAATACTTATTACGATTTAAAACATACAACATTAAAATAGACACAATACTAATAATATTTTATGTGATATCCTGTATGGTAAACAATAATACGTTCGAATATTTATTGTGGTAAATACTTTGTAATAAATAATACGCGCCGTTGAGTAAAGTCCTATACCTATGTTGTAAGCCACTTGGAGTTAAATAATATCGTACATTATTTAAAATATACCTAAACGCCACGACCGCGACAGGAAAATACATTTACTCCTTTTCACAATTACTGAAAGCCAACTAGATTCCCTTTTTCAGATCTCTGCAGAACTCTGTCAAGATCTGATCACATTTCTGGCCATAATATACGTTATATATTTTAATTTTTTATGTCATGATATATTGTTAGACATAATGCATATTTGACACAAAATACTCAATTCGCATGATCTTTATTATAAATTCACATTTGAAGTTAATATTTTGATGAAATTGGTTATTTAAACGAAGAATAATGATTTTAGTTATTTTTAAGTATTTTAATAATATTTGTGGGCAACTTTGGTATATTATCATATATTACTCATATACTATACACAATTACATTTTAAAAATATTGAGATTAATTATTTTAAGCTATTACTTATTTTATATTTACATCATAAACCAATTCAGATAATTCTACGTTAAGTACCTTTGTATTAACTCAAAATGTAATAATAATATATGATATAATTAATATACACTAATCACTACATATTATGATAGGTAGTTTATACCTGATGAAATAAATGCTGTTTTTTAGGAAAAATTAATTCAAACCTTCCAAAATATTACTATTGTAAATCAAATTTACTACCTATAGTAGCAATATTAATACGTCATAATAAAATATACTTGGTAATAAATATATACTGACAGTCATATTATATAGGTAGTAAGTACAATGATTTATCATTGAATTCAAGTTTAACTCATTTAATACAGTAACTTATTCGAGGACGAGATACACTCGACACCTAGAACTGTACATCAGAGCGGTACAGCGGTACATGTTTTGTTTTGTTTTTCCAGAGTAATTAGAAAGTGCTCGGAAATTTTTACTTTTGATCTTCCCCCCACACCCAAAAGTACAAATAAGATTTGATTCGCTACTATAAACTAAGCTTAAAATGTTAAAGATAGATTTATTTTTATTGTTCAAAAAGTGTAGACAAACAAATAATGTACAGTAGGTTACAGGAGGGTCACTGAAAAACAGAATTTGAATTCAATGATATAATATCATTGTATGAGAAAAATGATTCTGAGCGGAGACGGTATGTCAGCCTAGGTTTAAGACATATTATAATATCAATAGTAATAAAAAAAAATATGCACAGTCTTATCATAGAGTATACTTCTTATTCATTATACTATGGTAGATTGTATGGATAGGCCATAGTATTTTGATTTTTTGATTTTTCAGTTTCATATATCCCCGAATAATATTTTTAAATTACAAAAAAAAACTAAAATCGTTAATATTGATTATAATATGTAATTTCGTCCAAATTTGAACTTAAAATGACTATAAAAATAAACTGTGGGTATGTATTTTTAGATTTTTTGGTAACAGAATACTACTTACGTGAAATCTTGTTTTAAATTTTCAATCCTTAGATATAAAAGTTGAACATTTTATACATTTTTAACTACAAAATAATTATTCAATTTTAAATTTGATAAATTTTATTAAAATTCGATCTTTAAATCCCTATAAAAAAAAATTGTGCCTATATATTTTTAATATTTTTCAATTGCTATTATAACAATATATCAGGAGTCTTGTATTAAATTTTTACACTTTTTGGCCCAACAGATAAAACTTAGTTGATATTTATAGAAAAAAAAAACAAAAAAAAATTTAAAACTGAAAATGTCCGTTAATAGCTCAAAATGAGTCAAAATATTTTCAAAATTGTATAGTGTATAGGAAATGCTAATATAAATATTCAGTGAAATTTTCATTTATCTACAATTATTTGTTTTCGAATTACAACAAAATAAGGAAGTCACCACATGAGAAATCGAGTGAATATCCAATGTTGTAAAAATTTGAATTTCAAACGATCATAAAAGTTTAATTTGAATTTCTTCTAGACATTTTTTTTTTGATAAATGTAGAAAATCTTATAAGGAATCTTGTTTTACATTTTAAAATCTTAGATTTAAAAAGAAAAATTTTTACGAATTCTTAACTCAAAATAATTTGCTAATTTTCGTGATTTTGTCAATTTTTGAACTTTAAATGCTTGTAAAAAAAAACTGTGACTAAGGATTTTTAATATTTTTCATCTGCCTTTGAAACAATATACGAGGAGCCTTCTATTAAGTCATCATTGTCATTAATCATTGTAAAATCAATACATTCATCGTTCCACTCAGTATCTAATACATCATTGTAAAATCAATAAGTTCACGGCTCAGCTTGGAATTAAAAATGAAAGTGTTTAATAACATGGCACGGCTTAAATGGTATAAAATCCAAGTATCTATTTCAAAATTGGTTCTTGAGTATAATCAAAAGTTCCAGGATCCAAAATTTAAATTAATGCATTATTAAAGGATAAAAGATGTTTGAGCATCCCCGGTAAATCACACTGAATAATGATAATAATAGAGTTAGATGTGTAGATATTTAGCTATCGCTTTAGTATGATAAGGTTTTTTTTTTTTTTGAAAAACACTTACTTTTTTGAAAAAACCCATGATTACGGTCAATATGCTTACTGTCACTAATATAAATATGAAAGTTTTGGTTTTCTGAAGACTTAATATGCGAAAACCTGGAGTTTTAATCTCTATCATTTTACAACTAATATTAAAATTTTAAATATAAGCAGTAAAATTATCGTAACATAATTATTAGTTTTGACACTTAACTTAATACAATTTCAACTAAAAACTTTAAATAATGTAATTCGTGTCGGAAACATTATACACAATTGGGAGTATAACACTATAATATTATATAATATTATTATACCGTAGTCACTTGTTCACTAATAATATTTAATAGCCGAGTGTAACGTACATGCTCAACTTTGGTAGAACTGTTGTTTCAATTGGTAAAACACCTGTAGTTTTTTTTTTATTTATTTAGTTGAGCTGCTCGAAAAACATCAACGATTAACAATTAATTAAAATTAACATTTAATTGTGAATATTATTCTATATAATATTTCACATTAAATGTTTATTTTAATATAAATATGTTTTTGGGCTAGAAAGTAGATACACGTTGTTAGTTTCTGACCGAGTTTAGTTAAGGTTTTCGTTGTTATGGTTACTTATTAATGAAAATATAATATTTATGATTCATAGATTTTCTTTGTAGACGAAAATTATCGAGTAGCGTGCTATGGTTTTTATACAAAGATGATCCTTTTTTTAAATGATTTTTGTTATTTTAGACAGGTATAGCTTTTAGAAAATATTTTGTATTCACCAAATAGATTATTAAATTAAATAGTAACATCTTTATATATGTATATTATTATGATCTACGTATCATATTATTATAACAGTATTAATATTGTTTTATACATTAACTATTTATAATATGAACTGTATAGAATTTAATTCGTTTCGATGTGATGTACTTTTATGTGATCTACCTACTTAGAATATTTTATTCGATCATTAGAACTATATTTAGTGCAATACTGTAACGATTATGTACCTGTTTTTCATGTTTTATGTAATAGGCAGTTTTTTTTTATATAATTATTATTGATTCTATTTTGAATATTTAACTAGCTGAATATCCCAGTTTAGCCCGTGTGCATTTGTTTTGGTGGCAAATGCAAATTCTATACGGCTATAATATGTACCAGGTATATAGGATGTAGGATGTCTGGATGTGTATCTCGGTTTGAGTCTATCTCAGTTTTAGTGTACCTGAGCTCACAGACAAATCGGCATCAGTGTAGGTACCTGAAATAAATCAACATAAATTGGCATCCGCAAGTTGGGGATTGGACTTAGCACTTGGTATATTTTTAAACGTGGTTTATACTACTTAGTTAAACATAATAATAATAGTTTATTCACCTCAATCTAGGTAGGATACATAAATACAAATTAATTTAAATGATACCAAAACATATACCATCTTATTATGTCTTGAGATTCTGGTAATTCTTAAATGATTTATTGAATAGTTAAGTCAACTATTTATTTAGTCTATTATAGAGTATTCGGGAATGTGTAATTTTTGGTACTCTTTTTAACCTTTTTAATTTATTAGATAATTGGATAGAATTCCAATAATTTTGCCTTGTTTTGTTTATTATTTGTGAATTCATTACCTATATTTTAAAATATCATTGAATTATTACACATCCAAAATAGGTATGTTATTGCTTATTATTTTGAAACTGTTATATTCTAAGTATACTTTCAGACTTTCTTATTTGATACTTTAAACTGCTGAACTTTTTACCACGTTTTTTCACCAATTACCAAAACGTCCACTATTTTTTTTTGACATCCACGTTGTGCTAAGCACGAAAATAACTATATGAATTCACAACTACGGAAATATTATTATTCAAAAGTGGATTTCGTCTTTATCGCCACGTTATCAATGTGCAGTATACCTAAGCCTGCTTATACTAATTGTAAAACTATCGAGTGTTTTAAGCTTATAATTTTCATAAATATTGGAATGTTTGTACCATTTCGGTTAATCGTCATAGTATATACATATTTCATCAGTGGTGCATGTTACAACGGGTGTAAAATATTAATACCTATATTATTATATTGTTGTCGTCTGAAGTAGACAATGTTGAACTGTAAAATGCAGATAACACTTTATATTATAATGCTTCCCCGCGGAGTAGCAATGTAAAATAATACAAAATGTAAGTATTGTATTTTATCTTTTCTCTCCACATCGCTTACGTACGAATATATTTACATTTTTATATCTTCACCAACTGGTACAGTGGTCAATATTATGTTGTTATATATTTAATATGCATACGATGATTCAATCAGTCGCCTCGAACACGCAAATATTACAATGATTTGTCCGTTTTATTGCCAACGCTGAACGCCGCGCGCCGCAGGCACAGAGCTTAGAGAGAAACAGCCAAATGATAACTGGGAAATATTTATAAAAGTAAAATGTTATTATGTATAATATATATATCACTCGCGAAAATAAATTCCATACGGCGAGACAATTAATGCTCAGACGGTTGATAATTATTTTAGGAGACGGCATGCATCGTGTGTTTTCTCTTCTAACGACACGAGACTTTATAATAATTTAGTGTTTTCATTCGGAACGACTTCTATTATTTTTGTTTCTAGATACACATCGAATAATTAATTTACGACGGTTCCCTTCGTCATCTTCTCTAAAAGTAAACCATGTGATTAACATCGGAGAAAACTCGGGTTGATGTTTCTTATGCCATATCATACATATAACGTCCTACCCATACCTACTATATTATATACTTTATAATATTATAATGTACACACAATAAGACGTGAATTAGCTTTTACGAGATGGAACATTTCTCGACACGTTTTAAAACACTGTCATTACAACTTATACATATAGTATGATAGTAAGATAAATAAAAAAAGTAATATACCTATAGGTGTATAAACCGAAAAACACTGATGAGCTATATTATGCCTATATATTATATCTATGCCTTAGTGTTTATTTATATGCTTAAAAATAATACCATCATATTATTTCCAGTGTCTGCCGTCTGGCTCATGATTTAGACACCGGTACGATAATTTTCAATGAGGAAATGATGTTCTTCTATAAATCCAAAACCAATTATCCAGGTAAAAAATATATACTTACTAAGCATCGGAATTGGTTGACCGAAAAGTCTTTGAAAAATTGCACTTTAAAATTACCAAAAAATGTTAAAAACTTACCGGTTAGGTATATTTAAAAACTATATTGGACAGTTTTCAATAAAAGTGATATCAAATAGATTCCTCACGACTAGGGGAGGGGTTGTTTAATTTTATAATAATTATATACCTACATTATATTATGTGATTATGTTTTCATGTTAAAAATATTTCAATTTAAACCTTAATATTGAGGAAACAAATTAACAAAACGTGCTCTGGTGGAAACGATTTGTACCTCCTGATTCGGGATAGTATATAGATATAGATATAGTCTTATATTGGTTATTTTTTCTTTTTCTAATAAACTAAGTTTGGTGTCGAAACTTTATGGTATAAGCTGGTATAAGCTAACTGGTATACGTTGGTAATTACAATTTTTACTAATATTATAAAATACATTCAAAATACACTTCACTTAAAGCAAAACGTATACGAAATGTCGTGAAAATACATACAAACTAATCATAGTATCACGACTCCAAGTAGGGGGGGAACCGCCTAACCATCAGTACGACAGGCGTCAACAGCGCTCCCGCGGTATTAATCTGGTTTCCCAATTATCGAACTATATAGTCTATAAATGCTTGCTAATTATTGAAGTATATGTTTATTAATTCTGGCGAAGTTTCATAGTTGGTGGTGGTAAACTGCCACAAAATGAACCTTTTTCTAAAAGTCGATATGTAAACTGCGGCAGATAAAAATTTAACATTATACAATCTGTGACAAAACCGATAAGATACATAATATAAGCTTCGGAAATTTTATATATTATACTACCTAGCTGATCCCGTGGACTTTGTTGCCCGTAAAAAATGGCAACTGTATTAAGTGCAACTCAGCCACCCTGGTATAGGCAATCCTACTACATTGGATCGTGGACAATTGGCAACTCATCCACCTTGGTAGGCAATGTTCGAAAATTCGATTTAATGCAAGGTTGTAACTGATGTACCCGAATAACCAATGGCAACCAATAATAAATAAATACTAATTTCTACACTTATTCTACCCTTAAAATTTTAAATCGATAGCTCTAATAGGTTTCGGCTATGCGTTGATTACGATAGTCACCCAGGACAGTCTCGTATATAATATGTACAGATTACATTTTCAGTGAAACTAACATCGTATTGTCCCTTTCCTAACTGTGGTAGAGAATACTGTGACTTACATCACCTTCTCGTAAATTGTCCATCTCTATTTACCCAAAGATCTCAGCTAAAGATTCTCTTTTAATCTTTTCCACCTGTGGTATTAATTTTTAACTTATCGACGCGCTCTCAACTGACAATGTTAAAATAATCATTCATACTATAAAGTTTATTTTACAATCAGGCCTCCTAATTTAATTGTGTGAGCTTTACCAATTTTTATATTTCAGATACATGTACATAATTGTCGAGATATAATAATTTTTATGTTAAAATCTCATTAATAAAAAAAAAAAAAAAAAAACATCGTTAGAAATAAGCAAACCTCTGAAGTATAGTAATTAAATTTTTTGTAGCATAAATATTATTAGAAATAGATAATTTAAACATAAAAATGACCACTAATATTTCCAGTTACTAGGAATGTAATACACCAAATTTAGCCTAAAGATTATTATTATAATACATTTCAAATCAAAATGGGAAAATATTGCCAGCTGCAACAAATTCGCAATAACCACCGTATACAGTAGGATTGACCATTTCACGTACATAATCCTCAGCAGTGGAGAAGTTGTCACCATTTGAATTGTAGGACATTGACATTTGACATAGTAGTAAAGTTATTCCAATTTCAGATTTTTGTATTTCGGATCTCCTGGTATCTTTCTTGAGTGTTAAACATATGAAATGAAATTGAACATGAAAGGCGGACACCATCACCGATAATTGGTACAACTATTTAAGGTGTCAACATTC